GGTCCGTAACACTGCCCAGCTCATCGCGATTGAGCAAGATATCGAACTAGGAATATGGCCCCTAGGCCCTAAGTAGGGGCCGAGGTTTTTGTCATGGTCTAGTGGCAGAATGGCTGTATCACAAGATGTCTGGAAGGAATGACTTGGATCGGAGATAATCACGTGACCATTATGTATTTAAGACTTCGGGCCTGCCCCTTAGTTCGTAAATCACGGTCACTCTTATCCAACGGCCTTTATTCTTTGTCATGCCCTCGCCTTTTCTTGATAAACAAGGCAATTCCATTCCCCAGGAGAACATTATCGGGAGTGGAAACACTGCGGTTGTTCTCCTTCAAAACGGTGTGGCTGTCAAAACCCCTGTGAGATATGTTTGGAGCTCAGACTCCGACGTGCAAGTGAACGTGCAGAGCGTTAGACGTGAGCAAGATATTTATCTTCGTCTCCAATCTCCTAGAGATGATGGTTCTAGCGGTATTGTCCGTTGCATCGGGGTTTCAACTGAAGCGATCCAACTTGCCTATATGGCTAATGGGGATCTTCGGGCTTATCTTACAAAGAACCGACCTTCTCCTCAGCTTCAACTTGCGTGGTTCTACCAGATGTCTCGAACTCTTGCTTTTATCCATGAGAGATGTGTACTCGTCGCAGATATCGCCAGCCGGAATTTCCTTCTCGACTCCGCTCTATCTCTTAAATTCTGCGACTTCGCAGAAGCATCTCTTCTTCCATTAGATTCTAATATGGAGACTGTAGATGATAATGGATTTACAACTCGAATTGACATCGGCCTTCTTGGAGCAGTCATGTATGAAATTGTCACAGGCAATGAGTGCGAAATCGACCTTTTCAAAGATAACTCACCTACCGATGGTCGAGCTTATTGGCCAGAAAGGAGGCATCTACCAATAACTCAAGATGTTCCGTTTGGTTGGATCATTGAAGGCTGCTGGGACGGCACATTTTGTACCGCCCATCACCTTCTACGAGCATTGGATTCTGTCGACCTGCTCTGTCCGCCAATCACTCCCTCACGCACTGCTTAAATCCTTATTTCGATCAGGGATTATGTCACCGAGCGGCCTATCATAACAATCATTGGTATATTCGGCCTAGCATTTACCCTGATCGCCAGCAAAAGAAAGTTTTGATAGTCCGAGCCTTCAGCAATCTTTTTTTAATGCAATTTTTTTCTGATTTCTGTTTTGTTTTTGTGATTAATTTTCTTTGTATTATCATGCCACATTGTTGCTAACGTTTTGGAGAGTATTTTTAGCCAAAATCTGATCATTTAATTCCATTTTTGCGTGTACCTCGCTCAACTTTGATCCAATCAATCGTTCAAAGTCGGACAAGTTCAGTCAAGATCATGTTGGACAACAATACATAAGTCTGGGTTTAGACCACCTGTGCAATGACATTGTTATATTATTGCAATTGCAGAAATCTTGCTTTATCGAGACTAGCCATAGCGATGGTCTATCCTGCGAGCCTCCTCTCCTTTGAGCTATGGTAGGGAGTTTTTTTTTACTAGTATGCAACAATAGCTAATTTCAACAACAGGAATCGGGGCGCATACGACACAACCGGGGTCAAAAAGAAAACAAAGAATGAAAACAAAACTCTCATAGCGCCGATTGGTGTTCTTATGAGCGATCAATGATGTTGATGTCGAACTCACCATCGGTTGCGGAGGCCGGGGGCTCATCCCCTAAACATCCCAGCCCCCGGAGTGTATTGTGGACATCCTCAACCCAAGGATTAAGAATTTCTAACTGATATTTCTGGATTTGTTCCACAGTACTTTTAGACGGTTAGAATCCCTATAGCAACTGTAATGAAAGGAGATAGTGTCACTCACGACCTCAATGCATCTAATCTGAGTTGATGTTAGAACAAGTAAGCAGTAGAAAAGAAGATTAAAAAAGACAGATTGAGGACTCACTCCAACTTCATAGCTTCTTGCTGCGACCGCTGTGACTCGACCAAGAACTTTGCCCAGTGCGCCGTCTCTAGGGCCTCATTTATCTCGAGCACTGATGTTGCAATGGAGTGCGCCGAGGACAAACCCGACGACATGCTTGGGGGCGCAGATACGTCCTCCTTGATTGGTGGGAGCGGAGGGAAGGAGAGAAGATTTTCTGGCCCTTCATTATTGTTCACTGGAACAAGAGTTGGATCACAAAAAGAATTAAACGGCGCAATGTCGGGTATTTCCTCCAAGTTGCCAAGAAAAGTTTCAAACGGTTCAATATCGCTACTTTGGCTCAGGCCTTCCAAAAGGCGCTCAAATTGTTCGTCGGTGAAACTTGCCATAGTTGATGTTGAAATAGGTAGTTGAGTACTAGTCGAGTAGTGTCAGATCGTGCTGTGCTCTGTCTTTTAAATCTTATCGAACCACGATTTACTAGCCACTGTGCAGCAAAGATCGTGGTACTCAAAGCGGTCCCTTCCTGAGTCTAACATACCGCGAACATGAGTCCTTTATGCATTTCAGGTTCATCACATTCGATCACATGCATCGCTTATCACGTCTCGCCACTCTTAAAGATCAAGCGCTTCCATAAGTGGCTTCCCAAAATCCGTCCGCGCACTTTCACCTTCGGAGAATGCCAGCCCCCCCTCCACCCGGAAAAAATTACGGAATTATCTCGAATTGCCAACGGTACGAGCTATTGATATCAATGATATATTGTAGTGTCTGATTTATCTTAGATATGGAGTCGGCATACCCACTAAGCGAGTTTCGATCTCTACAACGAGCGTACGTGGAAGACCTGAAAACCATTGATGAGTTAAAGAAGCAAAATCAATATCTCCGCCAAACTTTGAAAGAATATAACGCAGCACTCTCGCGATGCTTGGCTGCCCTTGAGAAAAATCAGAAGTAATCTCATATGTCTGCATGCTTCCTTTTTCTCAGCCGCCCGGCTTGTTGTCCTTCACACATAGGACAACCCCTCCGGGATGAGTCTACACGATGATCGAGAGACCCAAAACTCCACTCAAGCCCCTGTTGTTCGGCAAACCACTGTATCTTGTTTGGAAAGGCACTAAGGCGGTGTTGCTCGCCACCAAACCGTAGTGATAGCGTGATCGTATCTTTTACGTCACGGACAATGAATCGCACTGGTCGGAAATATCGATCGCAATATTGGCAAATATCATCCGTAGTAAGTTGAAGGCCTAAGTTAATAGCATCCTTATAGAATTCTTTAGGCGTGGATATCTTGTCGAGACATTGAATAACATCTCGCGCTGGAGCACGGCAGCGAATCGAACCGACACATTGCAACAGACCTGAAAAGTATTTCGGCTTAGTATCCAAGCAAAAGAAGAAAGACGTAGCTAGCAATGATATAGCTGCATCTCTTTGTGTCCGATCGCTGGATATATTAGCACGGACAAGACTTGATAGTCTATCCATACATTCAGTATTATCCAATCTAGGTAGTCCACTAGGAATCGACAAGTCAAAGCGAAAGTATTGGGCCTGAGACTTTTCGTCCATAATACCTAGGAACTCCTTCCAGTTGTTTTGACCTTCAAAAGACGAAGAGACTGACCGATAGACGCGTGGAAGCCATCCATCGAGAAGCACGTTGCGAAATTTAGAGACTACTGGAGACTGGCTACCAGTCTCAGATCCCGTTCCAAGCGAAATGAAAACATCAGGACTGGGACAATTTGGCCATAAATGCTTTGCCTCCGACAAAGCTAGGTTGATAGGATTGTTATGCCTTCTCATACCGCCGTCTTGGAAGGTCCCAAGCCCGGGAATGTCGATAGTAGGAAATAGGCTGTGGCGGGTTAATGTTATATTTGATAGACCAAGTATAGATCCACCTACCATGGTGCGGCAGCTGTGGCACGAGCTCTGTAATTTGATTAAGTCAGAAGCTCTGCCCTAGGACCTAGGAGAAATTACTCACACTTGCCAGACAAATGGTTCGCTTTCGTTGTCAGGCCGAAGCCTACCGTACGCTATAGAGAAATTAGTGTAATATCCTAACATGGATCTAGAAATGGCCGAGCGACAGTCATAGTCTGGGACTTTTAAGGCCGCGCCAATCTTGACCGACCTATCGTAAAACCTATAAGTGATCCACAAACTTCGAGTAGTGTATTCATTGTTTGGTGTTCCAACCTCAAGGCAGATTTTAGTGACCGCTACGTAAGGCAGTTTTCTATACATGACAATTCAGCGGCATATGAGGTGCAGGTCGGCGCAACGGGCCAAGGGCAAAATTACCTCAAGTTAATCGAAGTGAAAACAGCGTAGGTGGCGGAGCTCGGTGATCCGGATGAATTAGAAAAATGCCTCACTAGATCAACTAGAGATCAACCATGGAAGGATAGATAAGGGTAAGAAACGACGAATATGCAGGGGGACAGGGAGGTTTTTATAGAACCACGCACGGAAACACACAAAGGCAAAGAGCGCTAAGCCGAAATGGCTCGAATTAAACCCTTGTGGGTAATTCGCAACAGCCGTCCGATATGGTGTAGTGGCTAACATCGCCGTCTCTCACACGGCAGCCGGGGGTTCGATTCCCCCTATCGGAGTATCTTTTTGTCGTTTCTTTTGGTGGCCTGTCTGTACTTCCAGTTAACACTATTCTTTTTCAATTCTACATCTAGATGCTGCCATTTTGAGGAATCAAGCTAATTTACAGCTAATTTACAGAAAGCAACGAAATTTGGTCTCACGCAGAATGGAGAGCCCCACAACATTAAAAGTCTGTTAGCGTAAAGAGTTTAGATTTACACCATGTCCAACGGTCTTGTCTAGTCTACAATAAAACTAGCATTTCAAGTGGCATTGGTACAAATTAGAAATATACATAGATTGGTGACACAAGCTAAAACAGACCCGAGGATTGCTTTCAAGGTTGGCGTTGCGGTGTTGTGAAGGAAATAGTAATACAAAAGGGAGACCTGTAGGAGCCACCTAGGCGGTTGCTTACACTCGAGGGTTATTCGATGGAAATTAAGAGGCAGGGTTGCCGGAATATGAACATGAAGTAATATTATCGGGGAATCGAACCAAATAAATGAGCTCCTATAGTTCCGGGTCCTACGTTACAGATCGTGGAGGCGAATGTATATTTTTTCATTGGATAGCCCGGCCCTACATGTGCAACTCCAGATATGAGAATGAAAGCTATCATCTGTCTGGAAACAACGTCTAACGACGATTAAGAACGTCACTTACATAAAAAAAAACAGGGATGTTCGTTTCTTCGGCTTAAATTTGAGCATCGGGATCAGCCGTGGACAACCAGCGGTCGATGAAGAATTCAAAACGCTGTTTAGAAATTTAATTCAAAAAAAAAGATGGATCTGAATGACGACCAAAAGGCATGGAAGTGCATTTTTCTTTAACTAGGAAACGCCCGCTCCATCAATACGTCCGATTCCCTGTGTTGAGGGATGGCTTGTTATATAAAGCCATTATCTTGCGGACTATTTCTATCTTCAATCAATCTTTCATCCCATCTTAAAAGCAAAATCTTCCTCGGAATTTGTCTTTTTGACCCAATTTTCCAAACAACCATGAAGATTTTTGCAACAGTCTTGAGCGTCTTGGCTTTCGTCGGGGTCTCAATTTCCCAGAATACATGCACTGCAGACGATGTTCTCAACTCACTAAGTTCAGTTGAGCATTATGCAGACAAGATGCAGTCCGTAACCGATTCTTCAAATGATGACATTGATCCTTCTGCGGTGAGTACAAACCCGTACCGTCTATACAAAATCTCCGGCAAACTAAACACGACTTTGACCCAGCCCATTTTCAAAAACTTTGAAAGTCAAACCAAGCATTTCAATGGGGATTTACAGTGCACTTTCAATACAGCCCTGGCGGAGCAGACCGCTATTTGCAGTGCCTATGAAACGGTTAGTCGAACTTCAACCTTCTGTGTGGACCATAGTCCTAACTTATTTTTCTCTTTCTACAAATCCAGTTCGCTACCTCGCAGCTGGGTTACCTGCATGTGGCCGATGGACGTGCTTTCTACGAGAAAAATGGACACGGTGATAATGCTATCAAAATGCATGAGTACATCTTACAGTCGCAGCACGCTTTGGAGGTAATTTGGAATTCCAAGATTATCGTTTATGTCCTAACGTGCTATGCAGAATTACACAACTCAAGTTAAAGCAGCAGCTGCATCATGCGTGGATCGCATTGAGACCGCTTACACGCCGCTGGGTACTCAGCTTCAAAACCTGTTACAGGCTTACCCCGGGGCGGCTTAATTACAGAGAAGAGCTGCCAAACCTACATTGGCTAACAGCTGTTTCATATAGCCCAAGAAGGGGAAGAAACAGGAATTGCGTTATGATGAATTGCTGTTCCAGAATGTCTTCGCTATTGACAGATGCTGAAGTATCTGCTGGTCTGGTCGTGGTGTTTTTGGGGGAATAGTTCTGCAAAGCTAGCTATATCAATCCGGGGATTTTTACTTAACCATAGTCAACATGGCAGCCCGGAAAATTAATTTTATTGGAATACAGCGCTATAATTTGTTTCCCACAAGTATACTTCTCAAGATGACACCCAACATCACCTTGAAAGAAACAGAAGCAGTGACAGGAAATATATTTAGGTGATAACAAGCAGTAATTGAACAGGATGTATCATTAAGAAACAAAGAAACACCAAGCCTAAAAGAACAACCATTGCCCAAACCGTTGAGCTCTACCCCAAACACCCGCCTTCTTCTCCGTAACCAAACCCCCAGGCCCATCCTCCTGAGAAGGATCATATCGATCCGTCCTCAAATCCATGTTAGATTTCCTGACAAAGCGAGTTCTCTTGACCAGCTTCCAAGCGAAGAACATTAAAACCATGATCGGAATCTCAATATAATAGGAGACAAAGTCGACCCTTCTGAAATGCGGACTGAAGCACTTCCATCCCTGAACCAGAACCAGAACAACGTTAAGCCCAACAGCAAAGATCGGGCCATACGGATAAGTCCAATTTTTAAAAGGAAGGAGATGTTCAATGCCCTGAGTCCGGATCGCCGAGCGGAACCGCAAAGAAGCAAGACCGATACAAATCCACGAGAGCTGGTTCGAGACGCCAACGATATTCTGTAGCCAAGACCACAATTTTCCAGCGCCGATATAGCTGGCACCAAAGCAGAGACCGCTGATCACGGATGTCGCAAGGACAGCCACCCACGGCACCTGGAAGCGGTTGAGATGGCCGAAGAATTTGGGCGCATATCCATCGACAGCGAGAGTGAATAGGAGCCGAGATCCGGCGAAGAGGGCATGGTTCGCAGCTGAAATGACGGAAGTCATGATGACTGCGTTGATGAAACTACCAGCAACTGCGGACCCGGCTTGCTGGAAGACGATTGTGAAAGGACTGGTCTTTGTGTCACCATCTGAGAGACCAGGGTAGTCATATGGCACATTTAGGCCGACGATGAGGATTGAGAGGAGATAGAAGAGAAGAATACGCCAGAAGACGTTGCGGACAACTTTTGGCATTGTTTTCGCGGGGCTTTTGGTTTCACCGGCTGTGATAGCGATGGATTCGGTGCCGCCGCTGTTTTTTTTTTGGGTTACCAATGGAGCGAATTTTTTTTTTAAAAAATAGCAACGATGAGATGGGGTGACATACTATGCAAAGGAAGCTGTGACAAATACGGATGCAAAGCCGCCAATTCCACCGACGAAGGGTGCATGGCCCTTGTGCCAGTTTTTGCCGCCGATGTATTGGTGGTCTTTATTTCCACCACAGTTAACAGCAATGCCAAGAATAATGAAGATCTAGAAAGCGAATTAGATGGGCGGATATTTTTTTTTTTAGTAAGGATGGTACTCACAACGATGGTGACGACTTTGAGTAAGCTCAACCAGTATTCAACCTAGTAGAAACAGTCAGATAATTTGTAATATAGGCGAAGTCATCTACACATACCTCACCATAAACTCTAACAGAAAAGACGTTCAATGCAATGACAACAACTAAAAAGATTAGACTGATTGCCCAACCAGGGAAATTATCTGTCCAATATTGCAACAAAAGCTGCAAAGCAATGATATCAGACACAGTGGAGACAGCATCATTGAACCAATAATTCCAGGTCAATGCGAATCCAAGTGCATCATCCACGAAGCGACTAGAAACAAGTCAGTAATCATCCGCCTTGGAAAAAGAAAAAAATAAGATTGCTCACCCAGCATAAGTACAGAAAGATCCAGCAACTGGCATAAACGCCGCCATCTCACCGAGACAAAGCATAGTTATAAACACAATACCACCACAGATAGCATATGCAATAAGCGTTGAAGCAGGCCCGCCCTTGGCAAGTGACGATCCCGTTCCAAGGAACAGACCGGTGCCGATGGTACCACCAATCGCGATCATCTGCACCTGACGCCCAGACAAGCGGCGAGCCAGTTTGTCTGCGTTGACAATTGGGTTTGTTTGAACATCATAGGTTGTTGTACCTAGAGCCTTGGAGGGCTCTGCTCCCGGCTGTTTCTCGATGTCGGCCATAATGTGGAGATGAATATGGATACTTCCGTATCCATTAACTTTGTTTTAATATAGAATCTTCTGAACATATTTAAGAAGAAGGCCGAATGCAATGCCATAACTTACCTGTCCGCGTTGGGATATACCGAGATGTTTCAGCCCTAAGCCACCCACACGTGGCAACGTCACCAAGTTAGATTTGATACATCGAACAGTCAAAATAAAAGGGGAAGAAGAAGAATCAAAGAGGACTTTTATCCATCGATGGCGTGATTGAAGCCATCGATGAGTGGACGGGGCTCAACCGTGCGAATGTGACGTTGATGTGTCAAGGAAATCCCCGGGTCCAC